GCTAGAATTCCAATCCCAGGCAGAATTTTCATTAATCACAATATCTCAACTCAACACAATCTTTTCATTAACTGGATTGAATAATCTGTATGCACCAGTTTTATGATATCCTACCAGAATTATAAGTTCACTCTTGTCATCAAGCTTTCTTCTTCTTGCATCAGGAATATGCTTGTAACACATATAGCCAAACACCTTTAAGTGACTTATTGATGGTCGTTTACCACTCCACACTTCTTCAGGAACCTTGTTCTTCAATATCTTAGTAGGACACCTATTCAAAATATAGACTGCAGTCGAAATAGCTTCTCTCCATAAAGATTTTGGCAAATTCTTTTGCTTCAGCATACATCTTGCCATATCTAATATGGTTCTATTTCTTCTTTCAGCAATTCCATTATGTTGAGGTGTGTAAGGAGCAGTTACCTCATGATCAACACCATGTTCTGCACAGAAATCTTCAAACATCTTGGATGTGTATTCGCCACCTCCATCTGTTCGTAGAACTTTGATCTTCTTCTCACTCTGGTTTTTGACAAGTATGTTGAATCTCTTAAAGATATCGAATACTTTGTCCTTTCGTTTGATCACATAGATCCACATCTTTCGACTAAACTCGTCGACAAAGGAAACAAAATATCTGTTTCCACCAATTGTATGTTCTTCAAATGGATCACATACATCTGAATGCACCACTTCGAGAATGCAGGATGATCTCATTGGCATAGTCGAAACGAAAGAATTTCTGGATTGCTTTCCCACTAAACAACCTTCACAAAGTTTTTCAGGCATCTCAAGATTTGGAATACCAGTAACCATATCTTGAGTAATCAGTTGATTAAGTGATCGAAAATTCAAATGTTCAAACCTCAAATGCCACAACTAACTATCCTTGTGGTCGACAACAGTTTTCAAACATTGAACTTCTGTCAAACTGATCATAGTCTTAAATGTCCTGTTCTTCAACAATGGAGATTGTAAAACCAAATTGTTCTTAGTATCGAACAATTTCAAAACTCCATATTTCATGACAACTGAGAAACCTTTTTCAACTAGTTGTCCAACACTTAACAAGTTGCATTTCATTCCAGGTACATAGAGAACATCTTTGATCATAGCTTTCCCTCCATTACTCATTTGAAAGACTATGTTGTCAGTACCTTTTGCTTGCAACGAACTATTATCAGCAAGTTTTACCTTGCTCTTCTTTGACTCGTCAAAATCTGCCAACCACTCCTTTCGACCAGTCATGTGGTTCGAGCAACCTGAGTTGAGAAACCAGATATTAGATTCAACATGGTTATCTGCAACTGCAGCCATAACCATCATACCACCTTCAGAATTATCTGAATCTTGGCGTGCAAGGTTCGCTCCTTCGTCCTTGCCTTTTGATCCCTTGTCTTTTCTGTACCAACAATTATTGACCAAGTGTCCCCACTTTTCACAGTTATAACACTGCATACCTTTCTTATCTTCTTTGTCCTTTCGATAGTTTCCTCCTCCCCTTTTCGAGGATTCAGAAGATCTATCTTCGACCTTATTCTTATGGGAATTCGACCAAGACTTCTTGCCATGAGTCTTGTCGAACTTGCCTTTGAATTTGTTAGAACCACCATCTTTTTTCCATGATTGAGATTTCAGTGCATGTATCGAGTCCTGAACTCCTTTCCTTTCGACAATCCTCACCTCATCCGCCTCCAACGAACCAACCAAATCTTCTACTTTAGTGGTTTCAAGATTTTTGAATTCTTGAATAGCTACGATAACGTGATCAAAGTGAGAGGTCAACGTTCTCATTACCTTCTCAACTATCATCTTATCAGTAATGGTTTCACCACAACCCTTCATGAGATGGATGAGTTTCTGAACCTTCGACACATATTCTGCAACTTTTTCATCTTCTCCCATCGACAACAACTCATATTGTCGACGCAAAGTTTGTAATTTGACAACCTTGACTTTCTCACCTCCTTTGAAATACTTTACCAGAATATCTCATGCCTCCTTCGTTGTTTCAGCATGAGAGATTTTGTCGAAGTTAGCAGCATCGACAGCCGTTTGAATGCAATAAACATCCTTGCAATCTTTTTTCTTGACTTCGTTGTGGGCTTTTTTCTGTTCGTCGATTGCATTTGTAGCCAATGCTGGAACGCCGTCGGTAACCACTTCTTTCATGGAAGCCAAATAAGGATTGCATCTGTTTTTTCCATCGGATCCAATTTTTACCGTCAAGCATTGGAAGAGAATTTGGAATGCCCTTATCACTAGTCATCTTCGCAGCGGTTGATTTACTTGCCCTAGAAAAACAATCTCTGACGTGAAATTCTTGAAAACTTGATCAAGAACAATAACCGGAAGCTCTAGATACCAATTTGTTAGTGCGTGAGGCACTTTTTAAGGTTTTAGGTGGATAAATGGTGTGTCTCTCACAAAGGTGCTTATTCCTACACTATGTATCAATGCTCCTATTATCTCCCCCCAACACTTTGAAAGATAGAGGTCGAAAATATTTCAATAATGTTACTCAGGTGTACAAGACAAAATTTACATGCAGGACAACCAAGAGAGGTCCATTGACACAAATGCAACATAAAATTAACATCACTTTCTTCCCACTAGTGATATACTAATATATCTATCCATAGCTTCGAGTAGACATAAGCTTATTACAGTTGATTTTGTTAACAATCATTGATTCATGTGAAGTTGAAATTTGATTGTCCATTGTCTCTCGTCAGTGACTACTAGAGACATAATTGTATTGAAGTTGTAATAAAGATGCAAGAGCATGAGAAATAGCATATGCGAGACATATAAGACACCTTCTCCAGGGTTGGACAACAAATCTCTCTATGAATTATTGCAAGATAAACTACCTGACTATGCTTGACTAAGTCTTTGGTTGTTTGTGCTTTGCTTTCATAATTCCAGTCTATAGGATCTAAGTTTACACCTCGTGCTTCACCTTGTGTTACTTAACCGGTTATCCACAAGGTGTGAAAGACTACAAACTTTTAAACTTAGATACTCAAAAAATCTTAATTACTAGAGGTGTCACATTTCAATAATCACTTTTCCTTTCCACTCAGACACAAATGACAATGTATTAGCTGACCTTTTTCCTTACACAATGTTGCCTAAGGCTATAGTAGATTCCCTTTATCCTACTGAACAAAACCCTCTGGTTAATAATGAAGCTCATGAACCATAATCGGACTTACTTACACATGTTCACAATTTTCCTACTGCAACTCATGCTGACATCTTAACATTACCTATTAGACAAAATGCACAACATCAAAGACCCTCTAGAATACACAGACCTCCCTCTTACCTACAAGACCATCAATGTAATGTTCAATATCCTATTCAAAACCAATTGTCTTATGAAAAATTACAGCCCTCATATAAACATTTCATAGGCCAAGTATCCACCAACTATGAGCCTTCCTTTTATCACCAAGCAGTTTCTAGCCCTGAATGGAGACAAGTCATGGCAGAAGAAATTGTTGCTTTAGAAGTAAACAATACATGGTTTGTTCAAACCCTCCCTAAAGACAAGAAAGTTGTTAGGTGTAGGTGGAATTATAAGGTTAAATATAGAGCTGATGACTCTCTGGATATGTACAAGGCACGCCTTGTGACCCAAGGGTTCATACAACAGGCTCAATGGATTTCTTAGACACTTTTTCTTCTGTAGCTAAACTCATCACTGTGAGAATTTTGCTTTCAACTGCTGCACAGAAACAATGGCATTTTATTCAGCTTGACATCAACAATGTCTTCCTCAATGGAGATCTATATGAAGAAGTATATATGTAGCTTCCTAAGGTTTATCCAATCAAGGGGAGGGGGGACTTGTTTTGTAAGCTCAATAAGTCGTTGTATGGATTGAGGCAAACATCCAGACAATGGTATCAAAATTTCAGCTCCACACTCACTTTAGTGGGATTTGAAAAATCTCTAGCAAATCATTCTTTGTTTTTTTTTTTTGGCAATGGCTCATCTTTGGTCATATTATTTGTATATGCAGATGACATTGTTCTTGCAGGTCATAATCCACAAAGATTGAAGCAAGTTGAAGCACTCCTTCAACTGCATTTCAAGTTAAAAGTGTTTGGAGATTTGTATTATTTCTTGGGTTTAGAAATTGCTAAATCAAAGAAAGGTATTCATCTATTTCAAAGAAAATATACCCATCAACTCCTCCAAGACACAAATTACACTACTTTCAAGCCTACTAATGTTCCTTTGGACTCTGCAATATCAATCAATGATACTGATGGTGAACCTTTAGAAGACATTTATGGCTATTGAAGATTGATTGGAAAACTTATGTATTTAACAATCTCCATGCCTGACATTACATATGCAATCAATAGGTTAATCCATTTCATGCAGTATCCTCGCACCACTCATTTAACAACAATTCACCATGTCCTGTAGTACCTTAAGGGCACTCCTGATAAATGTTTGTTTTTCTCTGCTAAGTCCTCTCTTCAACTTACTGCATTTGCAAATGCTGACTGAGGCAGTTGTAAAGTGACAAGAAAATCCACAACTGGCTTTTGCATTTTCTTAGGAGAATCCTTGATATCATGGAAATCAAAATAAAATAGTCTACTATAGTTGGATCATCTGCAGAAGCTGAGTACTGCGCCCTAGCTTCCCTCACATCAGAACTGCTCTGAATTAAACAATTGTTCAGGATGTTTGACAACGATTGTAATGGTTTTTTGTGATAGCATATCAACCATTCAGTTGGCCTCGAATCCCTTGAGTCATGAGAGGTCCAAACATATGGATATCGATTGTCACTTCATTCGTCAACATGTCCAAACACAATTTCTTAAACTGGTTCATGTCAAGTCATCACAACAACTCGGATCCTCTCACTAAAGCACTCTCAAGACCTCTATACGAGTTCCTTATATCCAAGCGGGGAACGCTTGATATCTATGTTTCCACTTGAGGGAGAGCATTGGAGGTATAGGATAAGGCTAGTCTCTTGGAGACTTAGGTGATAAAAAATCCTTCTGTATTTCTATAGTCTATATAAAGGATTGAGAAAGTTTATTTTGTAACTGACTGATAACAAGATTATAACATAATTATAGAGAGAATAGTGTAATATTTATCTCTTTTGTTTTCTTTGCATTCATTCTTCATTGTTTTCAGTTCACAGTTCATCGTAGCTGAGTAGATTTAATAAGACGGTCTTAAAACCTCAATATAACTTCTCCAACTATTATGAATCTGGAAAAGGTTTCAAAAATCCTTGCAAGACGATCTTAAACTCCAACATAATTTCTCCGACTATTATGAATCAAGGAAAGATTTCACAAATCCTTGCAAGACGGAACAAGTAGCTCAATTCTCATTCTTCATCATCCACGAATCTTTTCAATGAAAAGTATGTTCGTGAAATATATTATGAGTTGATGTTGTTGTTCAAAATATTTATCTTGTTTTTCTTGTTTTTCTTATTTTTCTTGTTCAATATATATATATATATATATATATATATATATATATATATATATATATATATATATATATATATATATATATATATATATATATATATATATATATATATATATATATATATATATATATATATATATATATATATATATATATATATATATATATATATATATATATATATATATATATATATATATATATATATATATATATATATATATATATATATATATATATATATATATATATATATATATATATATATATATATATATATATATATATGAGAATGAAACTTTAACTATTAGATTAAAATAAATAGTCAAGATTAATTTTCAAATTTAAAGATGTCACATGACTCTTTCTTTAAAGTTACAGCCTTTCTCTCTTCTATGAACCAACTATGTCTTCTCCAATTTTATCATAAAACTAAAACATTTATCTCTTCTTCCATGAATCAAGTTATACTTTAAGAGCGAAATTTGCAGCATCGTAGTCGCGGAGGCGGCAGAGGAAAACACGGCCGAGGTCGCCGGAACCGAGGTGGTGGAGGAGGTTTAAGTGACGGAGGTGGAGACGGCCTTGGGAGGAGAGATTTGTTACGGCCTTGATTGCGGTCCAGTTGGGATCAGAGCTACGGTGGGGGCGGCGTATGATTGCAGAGGAAACGGTATCTCCAGCAGCGGCTGAGGCGGTGGAGATACGGTGGAGATACGGTCGTTGAAGTTGAGAGCGAGACTGATTGTGCGGGCGCTGGAGGAGGTGAAGGTGCGGTCGGTGCATGTAAATTGCCGGTAAAAAAACAGTTTGGATTTGTAATGAGATTTTTATGTTCACTGCTTTGCCGCTGCATTTGCATTGTTGTTGTCACTGGTTCGTAAATCTTGTTGTCTTGTCGGTGTTGTCATTGATTTACAGGTTAATGCATTTTTGCCAAATATTTAAAAATATCCCTTATTTTTTCATATAAATTCAAAAAAAATCAATATTTCTTCAAAAAAATTCAGGTGTCAAGTAAAAGGTGAGGTTTAAGCGGGAGTTGCAGCTAAAATCCTCCTAATTCCTACTCATCAGGATCATCAATGTGAATAACATTCATTATCATTTAGATTTTAATTTTCAGAGATAAAGTCAAATTTGCAGTTGATACACACTCTGATCACAATTATAAGTAAAAGTAAATTTATTTATTTTACTGTGCCCTTTATTTATTTTGAAAACATTTGACGGGTATAGAAGAGTTATGATTTACAAAGGAGCCAGTGAGCAGATTACAAGCAGTAGCATTCTTACTCCAGGAAAAAAAATCTGAAAGGATTGCAGTATTGACAGATATTCTAATAAGCATATTAGCAAATCAGCAGCATTTGCAATGAAAGAGTTAACTTTTAGAGGCACAATTAGACCATAACAAACACCAAAAAATCTAATCAGCACAACATAATATACCCCCATAGTGCGTTTTATTTCAAAATTACCAGAAGCAAATCCTTATTAAGGTTCCAAATCCCACACCACAGTTTCGGAGTAATTAATAACTCCACTTAGGCAAAGGTGCCTTTTGCAGAGTAACAAATCCTTATATGTAAAGGTTCCTAATAATAATTATCTTTTCATAAACCAACCTTGACACGATAATGCATTGGCTAGCGCTAATGAACTTCAAAAATAAGTTCAAAATGAACTACAAAGTTTTAACTTCATTTAAAAGGGTTCTGATATCAAACCAAATAATCACGTTGGCTCTCCATTAAAGAAAAAAACTTAAACAGATCAATAACAGGAATACCTCGTATTAATACGTTTTGAAATTCTTCAATGAGGCATTACTCTACCAAATGAGATGAACAATGTATAATGGACATTTCAAGCAAATATTGCCTAGGGATTGAAAGTAATATAAATTAGTCCAATTCTACTCAAAAAGATTCGGATAATATCCAACAGAAACAAAAATATTTGAAACCAAAAACAATGGCTTAAATATCCTCATAGCAAAATCTGGCAATAGATTAACAAAAGTACTGTTTAAACAAACCCTAGTAGAGACTTCCTCACTCAGCCACATTACATAAACAAGTTGGGCTTCTTGGCCTTGTATGTGGTCTTGAGCTTCCTGGTTGGTGGTCTGATTTTCTTGAAAACCAATGGGAACTTGATCTTGGAGTTGTGGAACTGTTTGGTGCTCTCCCTCTTGCAGAGCTTAGCCGGGATGGTGGCTGTTTTGATAATCTGAATGCAGGGGAAACGAACCCTGTGACGGGAAGCCATCTCATTGTACATTAGATCAACAGCACCATTAAGAGTGGTGTCGCGGAACTCCTTGTACATGTTGTGGTAGCCAGTTCTACTCTGGTACCTCAACCATATACCATAGTTCTTAATCTTGGTTGGATTCTTCTCATAAATCTGCAAACAAAAACCACCCATGAGAAACTGTTGCTTATGTGGTGAATCAAATGTCAAACCTCAAAATTTACCATCAGAAAGACATACATAAAATATAAGACATATATACAAAAGGAATACCAAGACTCATGTATAAAAACTGATAAAAACATGCCACTACAATGAAATTTCTCAACAGTATATAAACAACTTGGAAAATCAAAGGATTTAGAGGCAAGTTGAGCAAGGGAAACTTCAAGAGCAGAAAACAGTGCAAGTGGGTTACGAAAATGTAGTTACCATTAACATTCATATTCATATACTAAAAGAATAGGTTACACAATAAATAATCATTAATTCATATACAAACACACCAGTTGTAACATCATTTGATTATGAAAATGACATTCTGAACAAAATAACAGTGTTTTACAGTTGTTCTAACATCTCGAAACAAGAATCAGTAATTACCAAAAACTCAAATCCAGATATTAAAAAAGGAAAAACAGATAAAATGTTGAGTGAGAATTTACCTCGTTGATAGCAAGGATTTGACCATTGCTCTTCTTCACCTTCTTCAGCTTCCTCAGGAAATACCTAATCAAAATATATATAAAAAATTCAAAATTTATAATAGATCGGCTGAAATCTCATAATTTAAAAGATCTAGCTAAAATGAAGAAATAATGAGTTAAATCATCTTTACCAGAACTTGGACTTGGCGCGAACTTCATTGGTAGCCCAAAGCTTCATGCGATAAATCTTCGGGTGTTCATCTGATTCCGTGGGCAGAGCTCTCCCAACCACCTGGTACTGATGGAACTGCAAAACAAACATCATTTCACATAAAGCTAACGAATCAACAGAAAAAAGCTTCAATTTTCATAAAGGATTTGATTTTAACTAACCCTGAAAGAAACCATCGTGAGAGAATGGGAAATGGTAGGGTTGATCTCTGAGTGTCGCCGGTGCCTCAGTATAGTGAAGGGGAAATGGTAGGTTTTTGATTGTATAAATATGATAGAAACCCTAATTTTGTTTTGTTGTAAAATCGGATTTTAGCTCAAGCCCATATACAAAAGCCCGGTTTAGATTATTTTGAGCCCAAATTATTTGTCTTTTTAATTTTGATTTCTCATGCTTCAAATTAAATATTATTTATTTTTGAAATCTATCAAATTAAATATAATTAAGAAATACATTTACCATTATCATAATTAAGGCTTTAAAGCTTTTGGAATAGGTCAAGCCAGCCTACAATCGTCTATGGTCTAACCTATTTAAGATCAGGTTAAATTTATTTATTAAAAAAGTCATATTTATTTACTAAAAATCACAAGTTTTTTAAAAGTCTATTTAATTAAATAGATTAGACTTGAGCTATTAAATAAGTCTATAAAACTTTATAGATCGGCTTATATATATATATATATATATATATATATATATATATATATATATATATATATATATATATATATATATATATATATATATATATATATATATATTGGATTGGGTCCGCACTTGCCTCACTAACGGGGAGGTCCAATCTGACACTCTTGCATAAGGCCCAAAAACAAGCAGCCTAGGTTGGGGATTGTTGGGCAACTCCTCACGTGTTCGTTGGGGAACATAGCCCACGTGTTCGTATCATTGTCATCATAACTGCCCTTCGGGAATCACGGGTCCAACATTTATTCTCTCTTGGCAGTTGATCAGGGGGGGAGTCCACGTGTTGGACTTCATACACACGTAAGTCCTGGCAGTCTTCATTGTTGGACCCCATTGTGGCCCAACATTGGAGACCTTGGCTCATCGTTGGGGGCTATAATACCCTCTCTCTTGAGAGGGTCAAGTATTCATTCTTTCATACTCACACTCTCGTACTAGCTAGCACTCTTCCTGAATCTTACTTTAGCATCAGAGTGTCTTTTGGGTACCTCCCCAACTCATCTCCAGTTGCTGCTCAACTCACAGCTCGTAGGCCTTGATGATTCATTCTGGTCAGGTACGATCACTAGCGTCGTCTGTGGGAAACAAGTTTCCCTATCTTTTATTAACCCAAGGCTAAAACAATTTTAAACTCTATTGATTGTCATGACCGACTCAGCTGGCAACAACAACCTAGATACCTATCTCGTCGACCCCAACAACAACGTCGTCGACAACATGGGCAACAACAACAACGGGAACAGCGTCGGCATGGCCAGTCTCGTAGAAAATTATAGAGACGGCATGACCGCCTTCTCATCATCACGCTCTTAACCATACGAGGGCACTCATCCTCCCTAGAACTACGAGTCGAACGTTTTCCAAGAGGTCCCCGTCCCTCTGGGCGCTGATGCCACGACCAGGGCTCTGTTCGCGACCATTAACCAGACGAATTACTTGATCTTCTCGCAAGGTGAGCGACTCTGGGTGCTCGAGTACTCTCGTCGAGCCCCCAGAAGACACAAAATACCTAACACTCCACCTCCTCGTCAGAATGAAGACCGTATTCATTCTCCCCTGCAGAGACACAGATGGGACAGGTAGCGAAGCCTCTCTCCTCGATGGACTGGGTGACGCCCCGCATTGGAGAGGATAATGCACGAGGCTACCGGGAGACACGGCCTCACCCCCCCTCGCAGGGAACAATAATCCTCTGAAAACAGAAACAGGGGCAACATAGAAGCACATCCTCGACCAAGGGATCCTCCCTGAGGCCAAGGACATCACTACGACTGCCACTACAACTGGTCCCCTTCCCGCTCCCCCTACAGGAGCGACGAAGACGACCCCCACGGTCCCTTATCACAAGCAATCATGGAGGCGCTCATTCCCATGGGAATGGAGAAGCCTCCCCAGCTGAAGGAATATGACAATATCGCTGACCCTGTCGACAGGTTCGAGGTAATGCTCCACTATCACAACGTTAGGGGACTGATTAAATGTCGGCTGTTCCCCACGACCTTGAGGAAAACTGCAATGGACTGGTACAAAAATCTCCCCCAGGGCCGATCACCTCCTGGAGAAACCTAAAGATCTAGTTCGTCATCTCCTTTATAGCGTCTCGTCGACACCCAAAGACTGAGGCAGCCCTTGAGGTTATCATCCAAAGAAACGACGAGACCCTTAGGGAGTACATCAATCGGTTCAACTACAAGGCCATCCAGGTCCCATGTACCGATCACGTAAAGAGATATTTGCTCGAGAAAGGACTCCTCCCGGGAACGGAGTTCAGGAAAGTCGTCGGTATTGAACCACCTCGAACTTTTAATGCTCTCCTCGAAAAGGCTAGGGCCTATATGGGCTACAAGGAGAGGGAAGCGACCAACAAAGCCCACAACTCGAGGAATCGTGGGTCGACCAATACCCTGCAATACCAGGACGCATGCCCTCTTTGATGAACGGACGAGAAGAGAAGGGATAATAAATCGCAATATCCCCGCAAGCACAGGGGACCCACATGGCGATTCACCGAATACACTCTGCTGACAGCTTCCCACGAGCGCATCTTGGCGGAGTGTGCTAATACCGACTTTAAGGATGGCGGCATCAAACGTCCTCGCTCTGCTCCTACCAAGCTCGGGGGTGACAGGAGCAAATACTGTTAGTACCATCAAGTCACGAGCACCTGATTGAAGATTGTGTTCATCTCAAAGACGCCATTGAAACCCTCATCAAGGGTGGCAGACTCAGGAAATATCGATGCAGTGACACTCCTCATCAAGATACCCGCGAGACAAAAGAGGTCGAGGAGGACACCTGACCATCGGATGAGACAACATGTTAGATGATGTGATCGATCTAGAAGGGGGTTGAATAGATCATTTAAAATAATTTATGCTTTTTGATCTTACCAGATTAGACCAAGACCGTCACGACTGGCTCCGAGCTGAAGTTGAACGAGATGGGGGGGGGGGTACCTGCAAGGCACTCTGATGCTAAAGTAAGTGGCAGTACGAGCAGGCAAGAAAGTGTGTGTATGGTAAAAGAATGAATACTTGACCCTCTGGGAATAGAGGGTATTTATAGCCCCCAGCGCTGGGCCAAGGTCCCTTCATTGGGTCGGGCAGGTTTGGCCCAATGAAGGAACTGCCAGGTTTTACGTGTGTAGTGGGGACCCGAACGTGGTCTCCTTCCTGGGTGTTCTGTGAGAAGTACGGATGGACGAGGACGCGGTCTTTTCGGAATACAGGTGATGGTGTAATGGTCATAGTCTGCCCTACGAGGGGTGCTCGAGCTGAGGTCGAGCTGGACTGCATGGAGTCGAGGATGTCGCGCTCGCGGATGGTGGCAGACACGACTGTAGCTTCTTGGTCGGCGCGACCCTCTGCAAAGCCGTTTGGATTGGGCCTTCATCCTTGCTCTTGTGCCAGCCCGGCCCAGTCCAGAACATGAGCCCCCCAAGTCGTGGTTCCTGGAGTAGGAGCCATGGCTTGATCTTAGTTCGCCTCCGTCACGAGGTCCCGTGCTCGGACAAGAGATTTAGTTCCCCGTGGTCACTCGAGGAGTTTCCCCTGTGTTGCGCTCGTGAGATAATTCCTTTCGAGGAGTGCTCGGGGGACTCTCGACGGGCTGTGTTTGTTGAGCACACGAGGCATCTCTTGGGAACTGTGCCGCCACCCTATTGAAGATAGGGTCATCATTGCCTAGGGGAGCTATGCGTCGAGGAGGGAAGTTTGTGGTTCCCCGGTGTTGTACCCCAAAATTTGCCCTCCTATTTTTCCACAAGAAATCACAGCTTCGGGTTTGCCCTGACTTTTCAGAATGGCGTAAGAATCAGTCAAACAGACTTTTTCTTATCAGTCTATCCAATTTAGGGTTTTTCATGGCTCTGGAACAGTTCAAAGCAGATTATTAGGGTTTGGTTGAGTTTGGCTCGAAGTTTGATCAAACAGGCGTTTCTTTGACATTTAACCAAGAATCAGGGTTTTGTGCGCGCATTCTCAGAAAGAATTAATTCTATAGTTCTTTTCAATTTACTCTGAGATATGGACTGAGGCTGTTGATTGAGAATTTGCAGTGTTTGGATTTAATCAGTGAAAAGAGGACATGTGGATGTTTGTTGTTTAGTTGTGCAATGCTTTGATTATTCGGAATTTCGGACGTTTATTGGTTATTTATTATTCTGAGTTAAAATGGTTGGGATTTATTTCCAGTTATTATAATTTAAGAATTATAAATAATTAAATAAATAGTTGAAGAAGAAAGAGAATTAACTGATCAAAAAAGGATGTTTATTCATTTTGAATTGTTTGTTACAGATATTATTTAAATACTGTAAATTTATTTACAATTATTTACATTAATATTATTACAAATAATTTAAATTGAAATAAAACTATGTCCTAAATGTCTTGAAATCTTCATCTTCTACTGATGCTCCTTTGGCTCAATTGACTTTTATCTGCAAAAACAAGAAAAGAAGAAAAGTCAAATGCAGATAAATAAAATTAAAGGCAGACAGTTAATTTAAAAGTTCATCATTAAAAGTAACTGGCCGGAATCAGTTTGCCCTCTCTGCAAATCACGAGATTACTCTCGGTTCACAAAGAGGGATAGAAAAATGTCTTGCAAAAGTATGAAATGCACAAAGTTACAATATTGCACAAATTCAAAGTTTGTCAAAAGCTGCATAATTCCAAAAATTCCAACCAAAGTCCAAAGGCAAACTGAACTACACATGCCTAACCAAAGTCCAAACTGGACAGCAAGCTGTCCAAAACTGTCAAAGGTACAAGAGATATCAAAGGCTATCCAAAAACTGTCAAAGAAGTACAATATGCAGGAAATCTGGAAAAGAGATATGCAGAGCTAAACAACTAATGCAAGCAAGGTTCAAATCATCATTTTCCTAGGCCAGTTGCTTTTTCAGCATAGTACAGTTCTAAGCAATATTAAATGCTTTTTTAAACTGTAGAGAGAGAGAGAGAGA